TTGGTATTATTACGTTGTTTGGTCTCTTCCCCTTAAATGCACCCCCTCTCTACTCTCGCAGATCGAAGCCGAAAATAAAAGACAACAGAAACTTGACAGGAAAAAAGAATTAAGGGAGTTATACGGAGAAGAAGAAAAGGCGCTTAAGTCTAACAAAGAAAGTGTAAGTCTATTTGCCGGGAATGTCTCGCAAAGGAATATTTTTTTTTTTCTTAAATCGTTTTAGCTGCTTTGTTGCAGTTTGGTTAGTCAGCATTGTGTGTGTGTGTGTGTTTTTTTTTTTTTTTTTTTTTTTTTCCTTCGTTCTGATTGTGTTAATTGTATGATGTGCATAGTTGCTTCTTCATGCTTTTGCACTTCTTCACATCACGCCCACTTCTCGTCTTTCTCGTGCAGAAAACTACCAATTCCAAGGTGACCCAGGCGCAAATTTTGCAAAGGCTCATCGAGGAGAAGAAGAAGGAAATTCAGGAGGACAAGAAGAAGAAGGTAAGGGAGACACATAAATTCGAAATTGTTATGTCGAAATATGGAGTACGTGCACCCACGTAGTCATTTACCAGTTTGTTCTACGGCACGCACTGTGCGACGTTTCACCTTGCTTTGTTTTTTTTTTTTACGTTGCTTCTTCCCATTTTTGTTCTTTAGAATAACCTTAACGTGCACGAGATGGAACTGGAGGACAACATCAACCACATCATGAGGGACGAGATAAACGACTATGATGAGTATATAAATGGTAAGCGCCGATGGGCGAGACAATTTCGGGAAATGCAGAGAAGCATGCATATATTGGGTCTGTCGGTCTAGGGGGGAAAGGCCCGTCTCTGTAACTCCGCAATTGTGCCTAGTCCACGCTGTTTTTTTCATGGCTGGTATAGGGACATATCTATTTGTTCCATTTTTTTCGTTTCCTTTCCGCGCATCATTTTTGTTTTTTTTTTTTTCCTGTAGCAAGTGGAATCGATAACGTCATTTCTGCGTTGGACAATGTCTCATTTGAGAAAACCAAGAAAGTGAAAGTTGTAAGTGGCAGAGCAAAATGTGTCCGTCCCCTTCGTTTCGTTTCGTTTCGTTTCGTTTCGTTTTTTTTTTTTTTTTTTTTTTTTTTTTATCATAGTTACACAAAAAAGGGAGAACCATTTTGTCCATTCGGTACCATACAAACGTGCGATACTTTATGATTGGTCCTTATTTTATTTTATTTTTTTTTTCACTTTACCAGGCCTATAAAAAATTCGAGGAGGAAAATTTGCCGCTTATTAAGGAGCAGTACAAGGGGTTGAAGCTGTCACAGTTTAAGCAAATATTGTGGAAGCAGGTACATTTTTTATTTTATCCTTTTTGTAGGGATGATTATTACGACAACGCGGTTAATTCGTTCTGTCCATAGCACGGCTGCTCCGGCTATATGTTGTCTCACTTATTATGCATGTGCACAAGGATAGACGGAAGTGTATGTGCGTGTGAATTTCATCGCGTGGCGTCAATCAACTGACAACAAAATGTTCATGTGCCATTCGCACTTTCCATTTTTTTTTAGTTTAAGAAGTCGCCCGAGAATCCGATGAACTATAGGGATTAAATCAGAAACATAGGACAAAGCTGACTGTCATATGGAGAAGAAAAAAGTCGCTAACTATAATTTTGACCCCGTTGGGTGCCATGCCCCCGTTTTTTTTATGCTCCGCATTATTTTGTTTATTAATTGGCTCTCAATTTTTACTAATTTCACAGTTTATTCATTTTCATTATTGTTTCATTTTTTTTGTTTGTTTTATTTGATTTCAAATGATAACCCATGGGGGAGGCAAAAGAAAGAGGGCGCATGTGTTGGGGGGAAGTGCATTCCAAGGTTTTATAAGTTCTCCCGTCATTTTTATTTATGTATGGACAACCACATAAAGACGCGACAACGGACGTTTTTCCACTTGCTCGATTTTTATTTGGCCATAGTTAGAGAACACCCCCCACCTACAGCGCATCTTTTGTGTTTACCTTGACTGGCAGTTATGCGTGCCCACATGCACACATATACGTACATCCAACCAACTCATGTATTTGTATTTTTATTTTATTTTTTTTTAAACGTATGAAATGGTAATAGGTTCACGGATGTGTTAAAAATTGGAGGAAGTAAAAGAGATGTGCTGCGAGTTTATGTGTTTGGCGAAAAGCCACTCCAATATTCTGCGTATGCGGTATTGTATTCAGTGCACCAAAAAGGCACTTATATAATTTACGTACAGTTTCGCCGTTTCGCCGCTTTGCGGTTATTTCAGGGGCGCCACGCTACATTATATGTAACAACGGCGTGAAAATGGTTCTGCAATTTTTTGCGCACTTGCCCATGTTGACATGTTTTTCCCCCTTAAAAAACGACATTTCACATCACCCATTTTAATTGGCCATGTTAATCACCCCTTTTTTCTGTTAACCGTAGGCAACAGTGTCATTAATGGCGCTGCATATTTGACACGCATAATTTCTAACTGGCAAAGAAGCGTGTACTCACAGGTAGATATGCCACATACAAAGTCGCACGTAGAATTGTAGGCGTTGTAATTGCAAGAGTTGTGTGCTTACCAAATTGATCAAAAGGGGGTATTCGTCCCGAGCCCTTTCACCCATACCAGTTAATGAAGCAAATTGTGGAAAGAGCTGGTGTACATATTCCTTGGCATTTTTACACTCCTGTGCATCGCACTGCCTCTACACTACTCCATCGTAACAGGGATTTAGTACTTCCTATACTTCCTCCTCCCCTTGCCTGCCTTGTGTGAAATGGAAAAGCTGCTTTCGTCCATCGGCAGGTTGAGTGTAGTAGCGGGGGGGCTGAGTTTAATCCCATACACGTTCATCTACGACGTCGATGGAGGCGAGAGGTGCGTGATGTTTAATAGGTTTGGAGGAGTAAGCGAAAATACCTACGGAGAAGGAAGCCACTTCTACATCCCATGGTTTCAAACTCCGTACATATATGATATAAAAATGAAGCCCAAGGTGATAAATACGACAACAGGAACGAGGGACTTACAGATTGTTACCATTAGTTTGAGGCTACTCTTTAGACCACACACAAAGCAGTTGCCCTACTTACATAGTACCCTAGGGCCCGATTACGATGAGCGTGTTTTGCCATCCATAGGAAATGAAGTGCTAAAGGCAGTTGTTGCAAAGTACAATGCAGAATCACTTTTAACCCAAAGAGATAAAATTTCGAAAGAAATTAGAGAAAGCATCACGGCGCGAGCTAAACATTTTAACATCCTGTTGGATGATGTAGCCATTACACACCTCAGTTATGGGAAGGAATTTGCAAAAGCCATTGAAGATAAGCAGGTGGCTCAGCAAGAAAGTGAGCGAGTGAAATTTATTGTAGCTAAAACAGAACAGGAGAAAATCGCGGCTGTTATTAAAGCGCAGGGAGAGGCAGAAGCAGCTAAGTTAATTTCTTCAGCTGTTAAAGAGTATGGAAATAGTTTACTTGAAATTAGAAAGTTAGAAGCTGCTAAAGAAATTGCCGAGAATTTAAGTAAGTCCAAAAATGTTACTTACTTTCCAGCTAGCTCTAATATTTTACTGAACCCTAAAAATTTATAGGTTTTTTTTTTTTTTCCTTTTTTGCACTGCGAGGCACTAGATGCGCAGGTGTACATTGTTAGGCGCTTCGCAAATTGGTGCCCGTCTTTTTTGTGGCAATTTTTTTCAATTCATTGCTCCATCTTTTGGTCAATCGGAGCATCCTTACCATACGAAGCTGTTATGTCATGCGCCATGTTTGTACGTTTGCACATGTGAGGTGATAGCGGTATCCCCGTTGTTATATTTTTAGTGAACACGTTTTAGAACCACGCGTATTGTGTAACAAACCATTTTAACAACCTTACGAATGGAATATATATATATATACATATATACAAAGAAATAAGACTGCTTTGTTAGTTTTGCCCGTCTCCTTTTACGTACCCCCCAAAACGGAGTCACAGTTCAGGACTCCCCTTTGCGAAACTGATTCGAATCAGGTTCCTACATGCAAGCGGGTAAGCCACTGCGGCATCAATGCATATGGGGTGATGGTGTACGTATGGCACAGTGGAAAATTGCAACACGTTTACCGCATGTGCAGATGCGGTGTTGGTTAATTCGTGATAAGTCTCTCTGAAGTCGGTGGGTGTCGCCTTCCATGTGACCAATTAAGGTGTGTAACTTGTAATGGGGTGAAACGAGTACTCGTTATTCGGAGGGTGACGAGAACCCACTTGGCCTTTTTCGTTCGATGTGGTGTGTACCACGTGGAGGAAATGAAGGCAGCTGCCTTTCGTGTGTGAACAGTAATAACATTTCTGTATGGATTCCTGTGCGCACATTTTTAGCCCGTTTTTTTCTTCCGTACGGATTCCCCGTATGAATGTCATCCCGTTGTTGGGGTTTAGTGTGCATAACTGCCCGCTTGAGCAGTCCTGCTAGCGACTGCGCCGCTAAAGGGACGAAACCCTTTTCCTATTGTGCAAATCGCTGCGTCCGAATATGTGCGTGATGAAACCTCGCAAGGGTGAACCCGTTTTATGTAAAAAATAAATTTTTTCCTTTTTTTGTTTTTTTGCAAGTGCAAATAACGGCAAAAGAAACGATCTAAAAAGTGAAAAATGAATCAAAAAATTGTATGTAGCATGTGGGCACAAATATGCAAAAAATTATATGCATATATGTATGCGCATATGCACATATTTGTCATTTTAACAGAGTTAACTTTTTTTTTTTTTTTTTTTTTTTTTTTTTTTTTTTTTAAAATTGCCAACACCTTTTAAAACGCGTTGAAGAGGTCATCTTCATGATATAAGCACTGCAACACATTGGGTGTCTCCAAGTTTGTTACTTTTACGAAGGAGGAAATCATCCAGTGGGATTTATATTAACTCGTTTGTAAAGTTACCAACGCTTGCTTTGCTTTATTAATGATTGTGAAGGTGAAGCTTTGGGGGAGTTCCGGAGTTGTTTAGTTCAATCGCAAGAATGTTAGAGGAAGATATCTCCAACTGAAGTTGGCACAGTACAAAATAGGGTAGGCAGATTAACCCCACGTATGTAAATGCACAGCTGTAAAGGACCTCTCCGCAACACTTCCGCCTAACACTTCTGCGCTGTTGACTTGCTCCGGCTGGGCTGTAGAAGTGTTGAACCTGTATTTGTCCCCACGGATTTAAGCTTCACCCCCCCATCAAAAAAACACACAACTGCACAAAACCATGGCGTCTATAAACATCGAATCGTACTTAGAAAGTAGGGGAAAATGGAAAAATGAAAAAATGCCCAAATGGGTAGATAACACTGGAGGAATTTACAAGGTTTTTTTGTCCAAATATGTTACATTTTTTTCTTTTTTTTTTTTTCTCCCTGCTGCAGACGAAATATTGGTCATAACAAATGATAGTCGAATTTTTACGGGCAAGCTAAAAGGGTTCGACCAGACGACTAACATCATCCTTGGAAATTGCTACGAGAGGATTTACAAAGAATCTCTGGAGAAAATAAGCTTAGGCCTGTACATCATACGAGGAGACACCGTGTAATTTGGCAAAAATGTGTTGAGAGGGGAAGGTGTCCAATTGGAACTGGACCATTCATCCTTTTTTTTTTTTTTTTTTGCGTCGCCCCTTTTGCAACCGCTACACATGCAGCTTTTTCCCTTTCCTCATCCCCAGAACCCTAATTGGCGAGATCGACGAGGATGTGGATAAAAACATTCTGCACCACAAGATAAAACCAGAGACGTTGAAGCCGGTAAGGGAGAGGTGTTTGAAAAATGGAACATATGTCACTGTGCATGTGCAAATATGTCGGGGGGAGGAGTTAGGTCACGTACGCCTCCTTCCTTATATGCATAAGGATGGATGGTTGAATGCTCAGCGCACACATAGTTGTTATTACGCTCCCCCCTTTGTTACTTGTGAAGAGCGCAAGTTGTGCAAACGTACATCACCCCCATGCGTAATGGTTTGTTATTCCTAACAATTTTTTTTTTTTTAATTTTTCCCATTTTTCGTAGATTGTACACTAGGAATTAGACCCGATTATGTGGCCATTCTTACATAATCCCCTAGATGTCGCAAGAATGGCCTTGTAGGACTGTTAGGAGATTCTACAAAATTTTGTTAAGTTTTATTAGAGCAGGACAACCAATTCGCGCCGCGATCCGCGTTAGGCTATAAAGTTACAGCTTGATGGGGAATACATGACCAGAATGGCTGAAAAAAAAAATTAATATGGGGCATGGACACATGGAGAAAAGAGCCCAAGCGTAAAAAAACGTATGAATGAATAAATCATGAAACGCTTTTAATTATAGGACAGAAAAAAAAAAAAAAAAAAAAAAAAAAAGGGGAAATACCGCAAAGCGACGTAGAGTCCCGCACGGTAAAATAAAGTGTGATAAAACATACACATATTATTTAATTAGAGGGGAAGGGGCATAGACCACGGGCGACGTTGCGCGCGGGGGTCCTGTGTAATCTGCGTGTCTGCAAATTTGCACGTAGCACTTTTGCACACCTGTTTAAGCTAATTACAAACCCGATTGCGTAGAAATGTAGCAGTAACGGGAAGCAGAAGATAGGAGGGGAAAAAAATTTCGTAATGCTAACTAAATGACGACGGGGGCGAGGCTAGTTTGGTTAAGCAATAGATCAAGCTAAATCACAAGCAGATAAGGTAGCCGTGAGTTCGCGTGGACATTACGCATATGCGCACAAATGCGAAATGTCCTTTTGATATTCGTACGGGCGAAACGCTTTTAAGTAAAGTCATTTGATAATTTGTGTCGTTGCGCTTTTTTTTTTTTTTTTTTTTTTTTGAGCAGCTGCCCGTTTGTCCATTTACCCTACTTATTGTGTTGTTCCAACCCGCGCGCACTTCCCAATTGGTGGTATGCCCCAGACGACGGTGCGTCTGCCCCGATTGTTTCCTGTTTGCACTGGAAAAAAAAAAGGAATGCTATATCTTCTTTTTAGTTCACTCGATAAGTATCCATTTTGTGTTAAAGTACCACATCCAGTGGTCCACCGTGACCCCGTATTGTATACGTACGTCTTGGACGTGTTGAACATGAAGAGTTCTCATTACTCGCTGGTGAAGGAATGGGGGGGCAAAATGCACACCACGCATCAAGTGCCCAAAATAAGAGCACAATGAAATATTAGCAAACCCCAGTGTTCATACATTCCTAACTATATTAATATTGAAAAAACAATTTATTACATATTTGTATTCATCTGACACTTTGTTGGCTTTGTGCAGCATGGTCATATCAGCGATGTACATATTCCCCAGTTCATCATTTATGGTATCGATGGAAAATTTTTCCAAGTTGGACTTATCCTTCAAAAAATTAATTAGGTCTACTGTTTTGTTGATGGGATTCTTGTAAGTAGTGGAGAGATCATCACCGGTTGTGTTTAAATTTGTTGTGTTGAGATTTGTGATGATAAGATTTGTCGTGGTGGAGTTGTTTTGGGGTGTACATTTAGACGAGGGGAAATTGGCATTCTGGTTGTCTTCTGTAGGGGTAAGTTGAGCAGATGCCATGGGTGGTGTTAGTGATGCACAGGATGCATTCATTCCTGTTTCTACATTTTGAGCAGATTTCAATCTTTCTTTCTCATTAATTTCGTTAATTCGATTTACACAGTACGTAATGGCATACTGGTCTTCCACAGGGATATTGTTGTACCAGAAAATACCTGACCCTTGAATGGGTTTGATGGATAAATTATAATGAGGGAAAATGGTTTCTCCATCTTGGTCAACGTCGTTGAGGTATATTAAAAGAGTAGCTCTTCTAAAGGTCCCATCATGATGCACATTGAAGTAATTATTTTTTTCATATTTTACAATGGCTAGTGGTTCCAAATAGCATAGTGGTATTTTGACCAAATTACATATAGTATTTTCTAAGTCCATAATACTTTCATCCTTTGTGTATACAATAGAGCTTTCGTTATCTATTTGGTTTTGCTCAATAACAGATCTGTTTCTAATTGTGTATAGGAAGACTGTGGAGCTTGTTCTGTTTGATGAATCTGTGATTTTGTAATTTTCCTGTTTATCTGTTGCATATCCGATGGACGTTTTGCTTTTTTTGTATTTATTTTCACACAAGGATAATATTTTTTCTATCATTTTTTTGTCCAGTATATTATAAATAATGCTCATATTATGTGGAGTCAGTTGGATTTTAAAAAACACCTTTGTGTTTTCATCATTGGCTTCTTTCTTCTGTAGCTTGCTCCGATCGTCAATGTCGATGTACTCCACCTCGTTGCTTAGGTAAAGGAGGAATGAGGAGTATTTTTTAAAAAAATGGATATTCTTTTCGTTAATAACTTTTTTTATGATGGTCTGAATATCGTCACTGTACTTTAGGTCGTTATCGTAAAGTCTGATCCCGAATTGGTTCTTTTGATTCTTCAAGACCTTTTCCTGCTCCAGCGTTGTGGTGTCATTCTGCTTAATAGTGTCGTGGTTTTGTCCCCTGTGCTGTGCGCACTTGTTGACTTCCTTGTCATCGTTGTTGCTCTGCGTGTCCTCGGGGTTCTTGGTGCTTAGGGTTACCTCCATTTTGAGCGGTTATCGGTGTTAGGGTTAGCGTCGTTCACGTTGTTAGGGGCCTTCACGTTGTTAGCTACGTTCACGACTTGTTCCTCTCTTCGTCTGTCCTTCTGCTAGCTCTAGCGAGGGGGGGCTTCTTAATTAGGAGTTCTTCCCTTATCTCCACCTCCCTCTCTTCCTTATGCAGTATGCTCACACTAATTACACTCTTTTTTTTGTTTGTTTTTGGTCTCTAATTACTTCAGTTTTGGTTACACATGCACAAAGTAGCGGGTTTTTCATTTTTTCCCTTTTCTCACCTTTCTTCTGATTAATCGCAGAGTAGGTGAGTATGTAAGGCGTGTTTGTTTGTTTTTTGTGGACGATTGCACTGCACACATGCTTGCATTAGCAAAAGTTTTATCACGTTTTTTTTGTATTTTCCGCTTTATGGTTTTGATTCTTTGTTTGCTTACTCGTCACCGTTTAAGCTAGCCCCCTGCCCTTTACCTTTAGCGTTTATCTTTTTTCTTCCGTTTCGTGTTGTGACAAGCGATCATAATATGTACACCTCCACGTAAACGTACGCGACGCGCATATCTTGTTTGTTCTTTTTTTTTTTTTTGTAATGCGCTGCGCACACGCGTAATTGTATACATGTGAGTGGGTATAAAGCTCGCAAAAGGTTGGGACCCCAGGGGGGGGGGG